TGTGATAAGACCTAGGGAAGGAGGACTGCGTAACAATATGGCAGACTCTTATCAACATTCCCAGAACAAGAGTTAAGGGGGCGAGGGGATGATAAAGCTAGCTTGGAGTGTGGAGAGTTCTTATAAAATCCGCTTAAAATGGCACATCACACTACATTTAAATAAGCAAAGGAAAAATTGTTATAGTGAAGGCATGATACGAGGATATAGGAAAGGTGAATAGCCCAGAACAGGAGAGATATCATCACTGTTTAACACTCATTTGGTCAAAAGATCGGCTTCACTTGTCCCTTTTGACAAGTTGTAGTATGGTGCTAAGAATGGCAAGACTCACTGACGATGCCGGCGAAACGTCTTGTAATGTACCACGCCCACTGTCTGACTTTGGAAAGTATCGTACATACAATGGACTCCGTATTAAGTGCGTTCCTTTAAGTCTTTCTACCAATATGATCAAGTTGCGAAAGCAAGGTCAAACAACTTTTAATTTTTTATTGTCTACTCTTGCCAACTCTTTACAACTCCAAAATACCTTATAAATTTATTGTTTAGTATATAGTATCAATTTCATCTTGCTTTTTTCGGCAGGACCCTTTAATGTTTTGCATAACCTATTACTTTTCACAATAATAGTATCAAATCCTTACATTTACTTAAACCTGTTTACTTGACTGTCAGGAGAAGCAGATGATTCAACTCCCGCTAAGAAAAAGAAAAAAAAAGATGGCCTTACGACGCCCTCAAAGGGTCGGGGAAGCAGTGATGCAAAGTCCCAGGACAATACTGCACCTGCCTTCGACCGGATTCCACTTCCCCAGGTAACTCAATTTTATTTGCCTTTTAGTAATTTTAAATCATTTATATAACCATTTTTCCGTATTTTCTATAAGTTGAGCGAGGCTTATCTGGAAGTTCGGCAAGCTATGAACCGAGAACTTTCAAGCATATTTAAGCCACTGACGAAAAGCTCATCCGATGCTTCGGACCAAACTTCAGTTGGCACCGAACTATCAACGTCTTTGCATTCTAAAACCAGTGTCGTTCTCTACACTGTCTGCAACGCACAGACAGGTGAATCTATGCTAGCCCTTAGGCGGGGAGGTATGGCATGTGCAGCATTCTCCGATGATGCTTCCATTATGGCGGCAGGCCTGGGGTCTGGAAGAATACGGATCTGGTCTCTGGGTCCCTCGTCTTTACTCACTATGTTACCTCCGGATCAACTTGCTATGCTAGACAAAGATGATCAGAATATCAAAGCAAAGATGCTCTATGATGAAGATGAGTGAGTCCCAGATATTGTCGTCTATTTTCCTTCTCTAGTTTCCTTTGTTTATTTATGTAGCGCCTGCTTAATAAGCTACTTTCACAGCCCTTTATCGCTCATTTACCGATTCTTATTGTTCGAACCATCCTCACCTTCCTTACTTTTAAATTTTCTTCATATCTTTACTTTCCGGTTTTTTCTTGTATTGTAAGCCTTAAGAATTAGTTCTATGTGGATAGGAGGATTAAAGAGGTATGACCTCAGGTTTGGTCGCAATTTACCTTAGTTGTTTAATGTTAGTTTGTTCTCGTTTTCGCAACTTGGCGGGAGCGTCAGGCTTGCATTATTGTTGATACATTATTACTTTATCATGTCCACTTAATTTTTTGCTAATTTTGCACATGTTCTTTTTTGTGGGTAGCTTCATTTATTTAAAAGGTTTTCCCAGGCATATCTTTAAATATTTACATGCATGTAGGCGCTTAATTGAAAATTCTTACAAATATAAGGGCTCGCGCAAGAGCCAAGACTACTCTATGTGCAGTAATAATGCTCCAATAATAGATGCCTCTGAACCAGCCATAGACAAACTGTAATTTTTTGTGCT